TCTAAAATGAACGTTCTTCATCCTGACGTAGTCTGGTGACCTTTAAAACACAGCTGAAGAGCCTTTTATCTAAATCTTTTGTGCTTTTCGTGTTTCATCTGTAAAATGACTATTATCTTCCTATCACCTTATCATTTTATAACTTTCCCTAAAACTTATGATTTTATTTATCTCTTTTTTCTTGTTTTGTTTTTATGATGATTTGCTGACTTTATGATTAATTTTGGTTTTCTGTCTGCGATAACTGCTACGTATGTAAAGTTTACTTACTAAAAAGTGGTGAGTAAGAGGAAAGCTGATGGAATTTCTTGGATTTAAAAGGTTATAATTACTTTCAGTGGCTGATATTTTAGCAGAGAAAAACTAACGGTGACTGTGATTCTAATGGGGACGAGTGGGATAATGGCTGAGGTGTTACATAACCACAGGAAACATGCTGGATGGACACCATCAGCATCTTTAGATTCAGCGTTCTCATGAGCTGCTTGTAGAAAGATAAGGACGAAGAAGATGATCCAACCAAAAACCAGCTGGAACCGGGCCAGTCCTCAGACCTGAGAGTAACCCACCCTCCCTCGCCCGGGGAACCAGAGATGTTTCGTTTATGCCCCCTAGGCCAGCTTTTATTCTGAAATCCTAAAGAAAACTGAGCTGTGAGAACAATGATAAGGCACAAAAGATGACAGAAAGATGAATAGTTAACCTTAAAACATGTCCTGGTTTCTACAGGCACTGCAGGTCAGTGAAACCCTGGAGGCCGACCCGGTTTCCTCACAGGTACCTTATCTGGGCGTTCGCCTGGGGCAGCAACAATACCAGCATTCTTGTCTGAAGGGTTTTCATGTTGCTGCTGGTGTTACGTGATGCCCAGAAGGGCGAAGACAGTTCGGTCAAATCAATCAGAACAGCCAACTAGGAAACTGTTTTCACCTAAAACATGTTAGTGTCAGTTAGCATGTTCTCCTTATGAATGTGTGGAGTTAGCATGTTCTTTTTGTGAATGTGTGGAGTTAGGGTGTTCTCATGCATGTGTGGAGTTAGCATGTTCTCCTTATGCATGTGTGGCATTAGCATGTTCTTGTCATGCATGTGTGGAGTTATCATGTGCTCCATATGCATGTGTGGCTTTAGCATGTGCTCCTCATGCATGTGTGGAGTTAGCGTGTTTCAATGAACGTGTGAAGTTTGCATGTTCTCCTCATGAATGTGGGGAGTTAGCATGTTCTCCTTATGCATGTGTGGAGTTAGGATGTTCTCCTTATGCATGTGTGGCATTAGCATGTTCTCCTCATGCATGTGTGGAGTTAGCATATTCTCCTTATGCATGTGTGGCGTTAGCATGTGCTCCTCATGCATGTGTGGAGTTAGCATGTTCTTCTCATGCATGTGTGGAGTTAGCATGTTCTCCTCATGCATGTGTGGAGTTGGCATGCTCTCCTCATGCATGTGTGGAGTTAGCATGTTCTTCTCATGCATGTGTGGAGTTAGCATGTTCTCCTCATGCATGTGTGGAGTTGGCATGCTCTCCTCATGCATGTGTGGAGTTAGTGTGCTCTTCTCATGCATGTGTGGAGTTAGCATAATCTCCTTATGCATGTATGGAGTTAGCGTGTTCTTCTCATGCATGTGTGGAGTTAGCATGTTGTCCTTATGCATGTGTGGAGTTAGCGTGTTCTCCTCATGCATGTGTGGAGTTAGCGTGTTCTCCTCATGCATGTGTGGAGTTAGCGTGTTCTCCTCATGCATGTGTGGAGTTAGTGTGTTCTCCTCATGCATGTGTGGAGTTAGCATATTCTCCTTTTGCATGTGTGGCATTAGCATGTGCTCCTTATGCATGTGTGGAGTTAGCATGTTTTCCTCCTTGATGAGTTGAGTTAGCGTGTTCTCCTCATGCATGTGTGGAGTTAGTGTGGTCTCATGCATGTGTGGAGTTAGCGTGTTTTTTTCATGCATGTGTGGAGTTAGCGTGTTCTCCTCATGCATGTGTGGAGTTAGCATGCTCTCCTTATGCATGTGTGGCATTAGCGTGTCCACCTCATGCATGTGTGGAGTTAGCATGCTCTCCTTATGCATGTGTGGCATTAGCATGTTCTCCTCATGCATGTGTGGAGTTAGCATATTCTCCTTTTGCATGTGTGGCGTTAGCATGTGCTCCTCATGCATGTGTGGAGTTAGCATGTTTTCCTCCTTGATGAGTGGAGTTGGCATGTTCTCCTCATGCATGTGTGGAGTTAGAGTGTTCTCCTCGTGCATGTGTGGAGTTAGGATGTTCTCCTTATGCATGTGTGGCATTAGCATGTTCTCCTCATGCATGTGTGGAGTTAGCATATTCTCCTTATGCATGTGGGGTGTTTGCATGTGCTCCTCATGCATGTGTGGGGTTTGCATGTTCTCCTCATGCATGTGTGAAGTTAGCATGTTCTTCTCATGCATGTGTGGAGTTAGCATGTTCTCCGTATGCATGTGTGGAGTTAGCGTGTTCTCCTCATGCATCTGTGGCATTAGCGTGTTCTCCTCATGCATGTGTGGAGTTAGCATGTTCTCCTTATGCATGTGTGGCATTAGCATGTTCTCCTCATGCATGTGTGGAGTTAGCATATTCTCCTTATGCAAGTGTGGCGTTAGCATGTGCTCCTCATGCATGTGTGGAGTTGGTGTGCTCTCCTCATCATGTGTGGAGTTAGCATGTTCTTCCCATGCATGTGTGGAGTTGGCATGCTCTCCTCATCATGTGTGGAGTTAGCATGTTCTCCTCATGCATGTGTGGAGTTAGCATGTTCTCCTCATGCATGTGTGGAGTTGGCATGCTCTCCTCATCATGTGTGGAGTTAGCATGTTCTTCTCATGCATGTGTGGAGTTGGCATGCTCTCCTCATCATGTGTGGAGTTAGCATGTTCTCCTCATGCATGTGTGGAGTTAGCATGTTCTCCTCATGCATGTGTGGAGTTGGCATGCTCTCCTCATCATGTGTGGAGTTAGCATGTTCTCCTTATGCATGTGTGGAGTTAGCATGTTCTCCTCATGCATCTGTGGCGTTAGCGCGTTCTCCTCATGCATGTGTGGAGTTAGCATGTTCTCCTTATGCATGTGTGGCATTAGCATGTTCTCCTCATGCATGTGTGGAGTTAGCATATTCTCCTTATGCATGTGTGGCGTTAGCATGTGCTCCTCATGCATGTGTGCGGTTAGCATGTTCTCTTCATGCATGTGTGGAGTTAGCATGTTCTCCTCATGCATGTGTGGAGTTGGCATGCTCTCCTCATCATGTGTGGAGTTAGCATATTCTTCTCATGCATGTGTGGAGTTAGCATGTTCTCCTTATGCATGTGTGGAGTTAGCGTGTTCTCCTCATGCATGTGTGGAGTTAGCGTGTTCTCCTCATGCATGTGTGGAGTTAGCATGTTCTCCTCATGCATGTGTGGAGTTGGCATGCTCTCCTCATCATGTGTGGAGTTAGCATGTTCTTCTCATGCATGTGTGGAGTTAGCATGTTCTCCTTATGCATGTGTGGAGTTAGCGTGTTCTCCTCATGCATGTGTGGAGTTAGCGTGTTCTCCTCATGCATGTGTGGAGTTAGGATGTTCTCCTTATGCATGTGTGGCATTTGCATGTTCTCCTCATGCATGTGTGGAGTTAGCATATTCTCCTTATGCATGTGTGGTGTTAGCATGTGCTCCTTGAGCATGTGTGGATTTAGCATGTTTTCCTCCTTGATGAGTGGAGTTTGCATGTTCTCCTCATGCATGTGTGGAGTTAGTGTGTTCTCACGCATGGGTGGAGTTAGCGTGTTCTCCTCATGCATGTGTGGAGTTAGCATGTTCTCCTTATGCATGTGTGGCATTAGCATGTTCTCCTCATGCATGTGTGGAGTTAGTGTTCTCATGTATGTGTGGAGTTAGCGTGTTCTCCTCATGCATGTGTGGAGTTAGCGTTTTCTCCTCATGCATGTGTGGGGTTAGCATGTTCTCCTCATGCATGTGTGGAGTTAGCATGTTCTCCTCATGCATGTGTGGAGTTAGTGTTCTCATGTATGTGTGGAGTTAGCGTGTTCTCCTCATGCATGTGTGGAGTTAGCGTTTTCTCCTCATGCATGTGTGGAGTTAGCATGTTCTCCTTATGCATGTGTGGCATTTGCATGTTCTCCTCATGCATGTGTGGAGTTAGCATATTCTCCTTATGCATGTGTGGTGTTAGCATGTGCTCCTTGAGCATGTGTGGATTTAGCATGTTTTCCTCCTTGATGAGTGGAGTTTGCATGTTCTCCTCATGCATGTGTGGAGTTAGTGTGTTCTCACGCATGTGTGGAGTTAGCGTGTTCTCCTCATGCATGTGTGGAGTTAGCATGTTCTCCTTATGCATGTGTGGCATTAGCATGTTCTCCTCATGCATGTGTGGAATTAGCATATTCTCCTTATGCATGTGTGGCATTAGCATGTTCTCCTCATGCATGTGTGGAGTTAGCATGTTCTCCTCCTTGATGTTTGGAGTTAACGTGTTCTCATGCATATTCAAGTTTCACTTCATTTTTTTCCTACAGACCAAAATCAGTCGTGTCAGGTTAATTGGAGACTCTAGGTTTGATTGAGTCACCATATGTCCCTGTGCTGGACACCAGAGATCTGTCCAGGTGTCCCCCACCTCTCAACTGGTGGCTGCTGGTGGGAATAATCAGTTAATGGGTGAGTAAATATTACAGCAACAGAATGTCTGACATTAGCTGTAGGCGCCTGGTTCAGAGCTATCAGAACACATGGGGATATCAGAAATGGAACGCTCCATGCAGCTTGTCCGAAACGTGGCTTTTACATTAAATTCTCAAAATCAGCTGATGATACTGAAAACAGCTGGAATCTCCTTTGAGTCCAGATGCTCAATAGTAACAGGGGTGAGCGGGTGGAGGGAATGTGTGTTTGTCCAGCTGCAGACTGTGGACTCTCAGTAAACACTGATAGTTAGTTATTAACACAATAGAAACAGATCTGATCCCTGAGTCGCTCCACAGATTTGAGTTTCCTGTAAGTATAAAAATCTCGTCTGTCTGAATTCAGCTGTTTTTTGTTTTGGTCTGATGATGCCGTAGCGGTTGCTTGTGAGATCTCATCAAGCCAAGGTTGTCTCTCGTGTTTCTGCTCAGAGGACTTTGAGTTTCCAGCTGAGGAAGACCAATCCCGTAGAGATATTCCACCAAAGCTCTTTGTGTTTGAACATTTAGGCAGCTAGAAGATCATTTGCACACAGTCTGATTGAAACTTTGTCCTTTTTTTCTGAACTTCACCTCCTTCAGAAGACATTTTAGAACCAGATCTGATCTCTGAGCTAAATGATGAGTTGCATAGGTTTGCATTTTGAAAATGATGCTTGTTTTTCAGGTCATGTCTCGCCTCATGATTTTTGTGTGTGTGTGTGTCGCTGCGTGGTCGGCGTTGGTCATCAGTCAGTCAGGTAGGTGAGTTTGGACTGAAGCAGGGTTTTAGGTAGAGAACATGACCTAAAGTAAAAAATCTGTCTGAGGAACATCAACAGGTTATCATTCTGCTGCTCCGGAGTAGACACCCGTGTGTTCACACAAGAAAAGCATCAGTGACAAGCTGTTCGTCATTCTGGGAGGGTCAAAGGTCATTTCCAAACTATTTAGAATCTATCACTTTTCCCATGAGTGGACATTTCACTCTGAGGTCAGAGGTCAAGGACAAAAGAGCTCCATCTCAGATTCCACAGATTTCATCCAGCAGGTTAAAGGTCATGACAGGCCTGTTTGCGAGGGGATTGAGGAGGAGCCCTCCACTAGCTAAACATGTAGCTCAGATTAGAACCACAAAACATCTGGAACAATGTGTTACCCGTAATGCTCTGCAGCATATTTAGGAGAAAACACAACACATCTGCTGCCAGCACGGTGATGCAGGGCTGATGGTTTGGGCTGGTTCTGACTCACACCAGCAGCTCCTCTAGGCACCGATGTCTTTTAGAGTCTAATATCAGAACATCTGTCTGACAGCTGGAGCTTGATCTGCATCTCATCTCTGTGCAGTGTTCTCGGATGCCCCGCAGGCCCACATGCTGCTCCGCTCTCGTCGAGCCAACAGCTTCCTGGAGGAGCTGAAGCCTGCCTCCATGGAGCGGGAATGTGTGGAGGAAGACTGTGACTTTGAAGAGGCCAGGGAGATTTTCCAGACAAGGGAGGCAACAGTAAGATTTTCCCATCAGATTAATAAATCGTTAAATGACCCACTCTTGTATAGCGCCTTTCAGAGTCAGGGGACTCCAAGCGCTTTTACTCTACAGTGTATCATTCATCCATTCACACACACGTTCACACGCTGGTGGGGATGCTCCACACTGTAGACACAGCTGCCCTGGGGTGCACATTAAGTCTAGAAGAGCTCTGGATCAGCGGTTCTCCAGATCTTCAAATTCTTTTGGGAAAATTGTTGAATCTAGAACAACAAATGTATCCATCCATCCATCCGTCCACTCTTCCATTCATTTTTGCCCGCTTATACGGAGTCACTTCGTAGGGGCAGCAGCCTTAGCAGAGAGACCCAGACTTCTCTCTCCCTAGCCACTTGGGCCAGCTCTTCCGGAGGAATCCCAAAGCGTTCCCTGGCCAGGTGAGACATAGTCCCTCCAGCGTCTCCTGGGTCTTCCTTTAGGTTTAGGTCCCCTCCCGGTTGGACTTGCCCAGAAAACCTCACCAGGGAGGCATCCTGACCAGATGCCCGAGCCACTTCAACTGGCAATTTCAGCCGCTTGTATCCATGATCTCGTTCTTTCGGTCACTACCCAAAGCTCGTGACCTTAAGTGAGGGTGGGAATGTAGATCCACCGCCCAAAACATTCAGGAATCACCTCAGTGTGTCATTGGGACATTGGATTACACAAACCAAGTGTTTTTATTTTATTTTCTTATAACACAGATTATTATGGCCATAAACCAGCAAAGGTGAAACTGAATTTATGCTTTTGACTTCATGAAATTAGCTTTGTTTGTTTTGAGTTCTTTGAGTTTTGCAGGTAGAGTAACGGTACTCTTGCTTCTGTGGAGGATCACGTTGCATTGTCTGACTGTGTTTATCGATATGGGCATGTAGCTCTTTTCAGCCTTTGTATTTAGCATCACCACCCTAACCCTAACCCGTTCTATATGAATGGTAATTTGGCGTCCCCTAGTGGTGATATATGGTTAGAACATCTGAAAACAGAAGCCATGAATGCGCTCCACCAAAAGCACAACTCAGCACTGCTGGTACCCTATACTCCCAGAATACCCCCACAGGGCCCCCTGAAGGACACGGTCGACCATCTCCAAATACACAAAACACGTGTAGATTGGTTGGGCGATCTCCCACGCGCCCTCCAGGACCCCCTGTTCCGCGGCCAGGACGAAAACCACTTTGTTCCTCTTGAATTTGAGGTTCTACAATCCGACAGACCCTTCTCTCCAGAACCCCTGAATAGACCTTACCAGGGAGGCTCAGGACTGTGATCCCCTGTAGTTGGAACACACCCTGTGGTCCCCCTTTTTAAATAGGGGCACCACCACCCCAGTCTGCCAATCCAGTGGAACTGCTCCTGATGTCCACACGATACTGCAGTAAAGTAAACACATTAATCAGAATCTTGTTTTCACCATTTGGAAGCTGATGAGTGACGTCTGGTTTGTTTTGTGTGTTTCCAGCTGGAGTTTTGGACCGTGTACACAGGTAACTCTGCAGATCCAAGCCGACCCGTTAAACTCTGTTCAGTCATCATATGAGTGGAAAGAAGGTTTTATGATGCAGTGAAAACCAAAAGATGGAGTCTAGAGCAGCTCGTGAGTCTGAGATCCTGCTGCGAACTTCAGAGTGTTGTGATGTAAAATGAATCTGACATGAAGGCAACTGCATTTGTTTGGTTTCTGGAAGACAATTCACTGGGCGATGGTTAGGTGCTCACCCCGCGATCAGAAGGTTGCAGATTCAAGCCCCGCTCAGCCTGTCGCTGACGTTGTGTCCTTGGGCAAGACACTCAACCCCCCCCCGCCTGCTGGTGGTGGTCAGAGGGGTCCGTGGTGCCTGTATACGGCAGCCTCGCCTCTGTCGGTGCGTCCCAGGGCAGCTGTGGCTACATTGTAGCTCATCACCACCAGGGTGTGAATGTGTGTGTGAATGTTGTAAAGTGCCTTGGGGGGTTCCAGGACTCTAGAAGGCGCTATATTAAATACAGGCCATTTACCATTCTCATCCAAGGAGCTTTGTCAATCTCTCAAAAGAGAAGCAAAACGTCTTCAAGAAACCAAACAAGTCTAGCTGCCTTCATTCAGCCCACTTGGACTCCGGCTGAAGCTGTTAGAACATCCAAACATCTGAACGGGTTGCTGCCTCGTTTCACACAACAAGCTAGTTAAAGGCTTCATGAGAACTCGTCAGGGTAAACCAGAAGGTTGAATCTTTAAACACAACAGGAAACATAAAGGAGATAAACCTGGAGCACTCTGGGTAATCTGTCCATGTTTCAGATGGGAACCAGTGTCAGTCCAACATGTGTGTGCACGGGGAGTGTGTGGACCAGTACCAGGACTACGCCTGCCGGTGTCGACCCGGTTATGAAGGCAAATACTGTCAATACAGTGAGTCTGGGTCTGGTTTTCTTTGGGTCTGAGACTGAAGGGCCTCAGGCTCCAGAACCAAAGTTAAGAACTGGTCAGGGACCAGAATCAGGGTTAAGCACCAAAAATGTTAAATCAAGTGTTAGAAATACATAAAAATCAATTGACAAATATTAATGAAAAAGCATTGTAATGTAAATAATACATTTAAATCTCTTATTTTATATTATATATTTATTTTATTGTAGGATTATATTTAATTTTAGGGTTATATTTATTTTATTTTAGGATTATATTTATTTATCTAATTCTGCACACAGACTAAAATTATAAGGCTTTAGACTGAGTCTAATATGAAGAGTTTAAAGTGTTTTTATTATTTATATAAACTAAATCAGCTGTTTAAGCGTTTGAACTAAATGTGTGCAGCATCTGCTCGGTTCATTAAACACATTTAGCGCTACCTGCTGACCAAACAGACACGTTTTCTAATTATTTCAAGTTCATCACCTGTGACAAAAGGCAGTTCCTCACTTCCAGTTTAAACGCCATTTCCTGTTCAGACATAACGGCTACAAACTGCTCGATGAACAACGGCGACTGTGATCACGACTGCACGGAGAGCGAGAATGGTCTGAGCAGGATCTGCAGCTGTGTGACGGGATACAGGCTGGAAAACAATTACAGGAAATGTGTTCCTAAAGGTGGGAATCCCCACCACACACACACACACACACACACACACACACACACACACACACACACACACACACACACACACACACACACACACACACACACACACACACACACACACACACACACACACACACACACACACACACACACATGTTCATGTCTATTTTATTGTCTGCAGGTTCCTCTGCATGTGGTCAGCTGTTGATCAGCAGGTCGGAGTACGCCAATCCGCAGGGCGGTCTGATGCCCTGGATGCTTGGAGGAGAGGTGGGAAAGAAGGGGGAGAGCCCCTGGCAGGTAACGATCATCCACCCATCTATGTCTCCATCTGTCTCCATCCTTCCATCTACATATGTGTGTGTGTGTGTGTGTGTGTGCGTGCGTGCGTGCATGCGTGCGTGTGTGTGTGTGCAGGTGTTGGTATTAAATGCTAGAGGGTCTTTTCACTGCGGGGGCGTCCTCATTGATAAGAACTGGGTCCTGACAGCAGCTCACTGCCTCCAGAACAACCACCGGTTCAGCGTTCGACTGGGTGAGTTCTCACTCCACGGACGGACACACACACGCACACGCGCACACACACACACACACACACACACACACACACACACACACACACCTCACCTGGGATCTGTGTTCTCAGGGGATTATGAGCGCCTGATAACTGAAGACACGGAGGTGAAGCTGGAGGTCAGCAAGGCTTTCAAACACCCGAACTACAACAGCCAAACGGTGGACAACGACATTGCGCTGCTGCGCCTGCGGACGCCCGCTCCTTTCTCCAAGTACATCCTCCCAGTCTGCTTACCGAGCCGAGCCATGGCCGAGAGGGTCCTGCACCAGAATGGCACAGTCACCGTGGTAACGGGCTGGGGCAGAGATGACACCGGCAAATACAGCTCAGCACTCAACGTTATCAAAGTCCCGCTGGTGGACCACAGCAACTGCAGCCGCCAGATGTTCCCCCACCAGCTCTCCAACAACGTCCTGTGTGCCGGGATCCTAGGTGAGAGGATAGATGCCTGTGAGGGCGACAGCGGAGGTCCGATGGTCACGCTGTACCAAAACACCTGGTTCCTGGTGGGCCTGGTGTCGTGGGGTGAGGGCTGCGGCATCAAGGACAAGCCGGGTATCTACACCAAGGTGTCCAACTACAACAGATGGATCAGCCAGGTTCAGGAAGAATGGGACAGGAAGCACCAGCCACAGAGAGCGCCGACCGTCTGAGACCAGAACAGCTCTGGTAAACCCTCAGAACTGCCTCACAGAATCAGAGATGGAGCACCTTTAAATAAATAAATAGATTTACCCCAAGCTCTATCCAGTTTGTTGTTTTGAACCACCGCCAAGACTTTGGGGTGAAACATCTCAACAGTTTCAAGGTTAGTGTCAATCAGTTTTTACTCTGCTGCTCTAAATCAAGAATGGGCAACATCCATCCTCGAGGGCCGCTATCCAGCATGACTTAGTTGTTTCCTTGATTCAAAGGTTGCATCACCTGTTCAGCAGCTCAAAACATGTTTTGGTACCAGGCTGTAAACATGTTTATTTCTGCTGTGAAACTGGTATTTTTAACATGGGAGTCAATGAGGATTTGCTCGTTTCTGACACCAGCCCCCAGCGGATGAGGGTGGAACTGCAATTTCTGGTACTTCCGGGTTTGACTCAATTTTAGAGCTCCATTGTGGGGGCTTGGTTTCTTTCGGGTCTAAATCCAGTTTCTACACCTGGGATTGAACCCTGAACCCTCCACAGACTGAGTTAGACAAACACCTAAATGTGTTGTTTTTTAGAGCTTTTAACTTTTCTAATATTGACCTAAAGTCTGAAATGACTTATTTTCTCTGGGACTGAACTCCAGACAGCTTGTTACAGCCAGCTCTCAGAGACAGGATGAGTTCAGACGTGACCTGTGACCTCTGACCTCAAAGCATTCCACTGGTAGTTTGGTGTTAAAACTAACTAAACTAACTAAAGCACTGTAAGGATTTATGTAAACTGAGTCTAAAATTCAGTTAAAAAACGTCTTTTTGATGACTTGGGATTTGGACTTCTCCCTTTATACATGTAATCTATCCCCCCCATATCTCATAATCCTGAGGTATCTAAATCAGAATAACGAGTTTTAAAAAACTTTTTATCAGAGTGGTGGGAATGGGCTTCCATAGTTTTGGGTGTTTTTAGGTGGACTTGGTCTTTTTTTTCTCCATTTCAAAATAAGATCCGGATCTTTTCAGGTTAAAAGTGTCCTGCTGTGTTCTCACTGTTTTGAGAATTTGTTGGATTTGCTTTTTGAAAGGAGCTGAATGATTATAAGTCACAGCACATTTGCCCTCCAGGATCTTCCTGGAGAAAACCAAGGTCTCGCTGTTTGGGAAACACAATCAAACACTACAGCAGCGGTCCTTAATAGGCGGCCCGCGGGCCATGTGCAGCCCGCGGGCCGCCTACTGAGGACCACTGCACTATAGGAACATAAATCACGTGTATGTCTTAGAGGTTGCATGACTTAATTTTTTTTAAAGTCAACAGTCAAGTAATGAAAATCGAGTCGACTTCGAGTAGTCGTTGATGACGTCATACACCTGAAGCGGCACGGGGGGGTGGGGTGGGTTGGTATGTTCGCTGGAGTTTTTGACAATTAAAATTGCGTCCACATTTTCTAAGTTAACACATTTCTTTTAACAACGGTAGTTTCTGCTTCCTACTTCAGCCCTCTCCCCCCACCCCCTGTGCAGCAGCCGCAAACTCACTGATGCGCCTGCAGCCTCTCGGAGTTCCTGCTGATCTAAACATTAAAATAATTATTTCATTTTCTGTTCCTCACTTCTGATGACCTTCAATGGTGTCTGTTTGTTGCAACCACCAGGTACAAAAACTAACTTGTTTTTATTTGACTATTTTTCTGTCCTGTCTGTTTATTATCTTCCTGCATCTCCTCTCAATCCTAAAGAAAAACTGCTACCTGCGTTCATATATATTCACCTCATGAGTTACCTTTGAACTGCAGTTCTAAAAGATCTACCAACCGCAAAAACAGCGGAGTGCCGCTGCTCGCCAGCCGACTACAACAGGACCGTTTTTGCTGCGGAGTTCGTGCCGGAGCGGAGTGGAGATAGTGGAATCTTGGGGGTGCGTCACCGGAGAACAAAACAGGTGATGTGCCTCGCTCCGCAGCAGCGAAACGCATCAGGCACAAATAACAGACAGAAAACATGAAAGGAAATGAGCCGACATGAACGATCGCGTGTTTAATTTGTTTTTGAGGTGGTGACACCTGATTTGGCGGTGCTCAGGACGCAATGTCTGGAGCGCGTCAACGATCAGAGCTTTGCATGCACAAACTGGTTAAGATTAGGATGGGGGTGAGGGGAAGGTTAAATTGCAAGAGGGAAAAGGTCACAGTTTGGTTAAATGTCCGTTTTACCGCCGGTGTCAGTACCGACACTCTGGCACAGCGCGTCGCCTCCGCCTTCCGACGCAGGGGCTCATCACCTGCTGTCTTTTCCGAGGACTGCATCTTGTCAGTCATTATCATGTGACAGCGACTAGTCGATGACAGGCATAAAAAGTCACTACAGAGCCGTGAAGTCGACTAGTTCATTCAACCCCTAGTATGTCTAACATTTAATCACCAGCTGTTGCTCTTTTTCTGTTGGTGATTAAACACAGAAAGGTACAGAGAGACTCCGGAGGTACACAAGCCGTAAGCTTGGGCTCAAATTCAAAAAGATGGATTGTTGTGAATTATTCAGCTAATCCCCGCCTGGCATCCGCCTTAAGCCGAGTTTAGATTAAACCTCCACTGACACTGGACTGACTCATGAAAACAGAGTCCTCTAACACCTTTTAAATCAACTTGTGGAAACTGAGATACAAAACCGACACACAGCTCACACTGATGACTCCCAAGTACTGAAGTACTATCGAAGTAAGTGTCCCTAGTTAAGTTATGGTAAAAGTACACAGGCCTAGTACTTAGTACTTAGACCTAAATAAGCCTTGGTCAAATCGCTTTTAGATAGACCAACTTACTTTGACAGAACAGTTACTTTAAGTTACTTATGTGGCAAAGTAACTTGATACTGACTACTTTGTTGCCATTTCTGGAAAGTACCAGCTTGGCACCAGTCCAACCAGTATGCACGCACACACATACACAAACACACACACACATGCACACACTCACACACTGGTATCTCACATCATTTCCACTGTTATAAGACTTTGTCGTTTTACTTTTATTCCATCAGATTATTTAACTTTATAATAAATAATAAACCGTGAACTATGTGTTTATTTAACATGAATAAAAATGCTGGTAAACATATTTTCTTTAAACCAACGAAACTCTTCATGGTTTCTGCGCGTTACTCCAAACGAGGTCGGGAGGCTCACTGATCACACACACATTGTGTTTGTAAAGGAGAAAGGTTTACCTGGATAAATAAACTTAAACCAAATAAATAAATAACATCACGCCAGTGTTTAGCTTTAGCAGCTAACCACAGAAGTTCAACTGTAAACAAGAGTCGCTGGTTTTTGTGACAGAAATATTATTTTATTCTCTAAATCTGAAGACAAACACATTTAAATCAGACTCATCAGAAAACGCAGTGCCCAAAACAAACAAACAAACAAACAAACAAACACAGTTAAAGAAACATTTCATCCTGCAACTTTTTCTTTATTATTAATAAAAAAGCTCACAGACCATCATGAGCATTTACGTTTTTCTTTCATTACCTGAAGGTCAATAACAGGTGGGCGGTCTCTTAAAGGGGAGGAGCCTCTCACTCAGACACAGGTGAGGCTGCCTCATAAACATGTCTCTCGGCCTAGTCCACACGTAGCCGGGTTTTTTTTAAAACGAATATCCGCCCCTCCAAAAACTTGCATCCACACCACCTCGTTTAAAAAAAAAACTCTGTCCACACGTACCCGGATAAATGCATTGTTAAGGACATGCCAGACCTGTAGGCGGCAGTACTTCCCCCGTTCTTAACCTCGTCCTTCATCTGTGGTCTTCCGCAAGGAGCAGTTATTCCGCTTGCAAAAACAAACAAGCAAAAAGCGCTTGGACAATTGATAAATCGAGCGCAGCTCTGAGGGCATCCATGCTGTCGGCTAGTGTAAACACAGGTCGCACACGTGATGTCAGCATTTTTTGTCGCGGAAAGTGACGTTGCGGACCTTAAAACTCCGGTTTTGTCCGTCCACACGCAGACACCCAAAACGGAGAAAACGCAGATCTTCACTTTGGCCGGAGTTTTTAAAAAGATCCGTTTTTGTGTGAAAAAACTCCGTTTTGTGTGGATGACAGGCCAAAACGTAGAAAAATATCTACGTTTTGGCAGATCCCCGGCTACGTGTGGACAGGGCCTGAGTTACAACCTGGTTTCTGTTAGCAGAAACACCTAAGATTTAAAAAAAAAACATTCAGTAACAGACAAACATCAGCTGTTCTGGAGCTTTAAACTCACTCCGATAGAGATTAGGATTATTTCACAACTTCCTGTTAATCTGAGTTTCATTTGTAAAACAGAATAAAAACACAAGAATGAGTCATACTTTGATGACATCAATAATTTTTCACCTCGTTTGATTAAATCTGTCGTTTTGGAGGATTTATTTCTTTATTCTGATTAAAGCTCTGATCAGATTAAACAGACAAAAGAAGGATTAGAAAATGTTTTTGTGTTTGATTCAGAAACTGATTTTTTCCTGTTGGGAAACAGAAAGAATAATTTCTTCTGCTTTAGGAGGAACTTCAGAGGAAACCTGAAGATCATGTGTAGGACTGCTGATCAAAATTATGTGACTAAAAAATCTCCAGGTTTTAAAAATAATCTAGAATTTGGAGCAAATCTGATATTTGTTTTAGTTTTGAGTCAAAACTAAAACAAGAATTAAAGATTTGAATTTAAAATAAAATTATAAAAATGTTCTAGTTTATGGTGAAGCTGAGCCCTGGTGGCCTTCTAGTGGTCGAACACGGCACAGCAAACGCATCAGCTTCAAGCTCTTAAAAAAACTTCATTTAAAATAAAAAATGCATTTTTATCTGATTTTTTCAGGTTTTTCTCCCTTTTAAATCTGTAATTTTCCTGTAAAATAATTTATGTTTAAAGAACGAATCTGTTTGTGAATCTTTGTGCTTGTCTGACCTGGAGTCAGCGAGGCTTTAGGGGTCGTTCTGGATCGATCAGAGCTCTGAGAACTCTCGTCGCCTCCTCTTCAGCACCTCCTCGTACCTCCGGAGCTGAGACATGAAGCCGGGGTTCGGGTCGATCACGTGACGAGCCGTCTTCACTCTCTGAGAGGAAATAAAATAAAACATCAAAGTTAGAATAAAGTCTGAGCTGTTTGGGTTTCTGGCTCCTCCTGGAGAACGAGCTGCTCAGAACCAAAAATGACATCTAAATAATGAAGAAAGAAGCTCCTGCAATGAGAAGATCGGTTATTCTGTTTTATGACTGTGGGCTTACATAGATTTATGATGATTTAGATTTGTGTTTTATCTCGTTTCTTAAATCCTCCTTTCTCCTGTTTGTGTTTGAATGCATCAGCATGTATTTTGTCCCACAGAGGCTCCTGTTCTGGCTCAAAGACACCTTGGAAAATGAAAACCTGAGGAAATGAAGCCGTCATCACATCTGACGAGTCTGCTGACGGCTGAAAAAGGAAGTCATGAGTCTGATTTATTTTAGTGCCGTAACCTAACCTCCAGCTGCCAGCCAGGCTCCTCCCACTCACCTGAGGATTATTTATTTATTTGTGTGTAATTATGGGATGCAGAAACTAATGTTTACTTAAAGAATACAAGAACCTATGGAACAAAGACACTAGAGGTGGTCGAAAACTTAACGTATCCATTAGGAGGTTTAAGGTTACCTTCCCCCCACCTTGAGTCTGCCCTACGGAAGCCCTGAAAGGTAAAAATATAGGGATTATGACTGTCTCTAAATCTGACCCTTTTAAACTGAAAGATGTTTTTGTTTCTGAAGCAAACAACAAAACTGGTTTTCAGCCCGAGAAGGTAAACAAATACTTCTAGGTCAGTATTTTTCCTCCTGACTTCATAATATCTTTTTTATTGAAAACAGCTTTGAAAGGAAAATTAAATGTGGCTTGTTTATTGTTGTTAAGTCAATCATGGCCACAAGGGGGCAGAAGGTCTTTGTGGTTTGACCTCTGGGGCTCTTCAAAGTAGGGTTAACACTATGTGGTGGTTAACGGGGCCTGGTGGAGGAGACCGGTGGGAACCCGACCTGCACGGCTTCAGTCAGGCTGACTTTGTGATGCTTCATCAGGAAGGCGATGCAGATGGTCGCCGAGCGGCTGCGTCCATTCTTGCAGTAGACGAGGCTGCGTCCTCCCCGACTGGCCTCCTTCTGGATGGCGTCAGCGCAGTGGTCGAAGTGGCTGTAAAGGTCCTCGCTGGGGTCGTCGTAGACCGGGATCTGCAGCTTGGTGACGCTGGAGGAGGGAAACGGCTGCTGCCTGGATATGTTGATGCAGAGTGTCACCGCCTCCTGCTGGAGCAGTTCGGTGCTGCAGGCAGAGCGGGCGTTGCTGATGAACAGGGAGCTGGTGACTTTACACAGCTGCAACATCCTGGTTGGTCACAGAGAGGAATGGCCCTCACAGGCTCCGTAGATACCTGTCAGAGAAGAGTGACAGACGTAAAAAGATAAGTTGTCGAGTTCTTCGTTGTTGCAAAATAATTAAAACTTAACTAAAGTCTTTTTCCTAACAGTTTTGATGTCAGAAACTGAAATAAGGACATTATGAATTATGTTTGATACCACATGACCCGGTGTGTCACAGACGATACATAATAATGGTAATAATAAAGATGCACCGATGACACAACGGTAAAAACGGTAAACGTGTTTCTGATCAACTAGAAAACTGATTCTGGAAGAAAACCTGAGATCTGGTATAAATACAGGATGAGTGGTGATGAGTTCACAGACTGGTGGGAAAATAAGATGTTTGAGTTTCGCCTCAGCTGATCCTGCTGGTTTTGGTCACCAGCTGGTATGTTAGTCCACCCTGGAAACAGCTGATACTGAGTGAACCAGCAGGATGAAGAGTCCTTGAACGCCTCACGGACAAACGGACTGACCTGCAGAATCCTTCATGTGACCTGCTTTTCCTGTTGGGTTTGGCAAAGAAAGTCCAGTTGCTGCTTTTCAGAGGTAGGATGATGCAAAGGCCCTGTGTAGACTATAAAGTGATGTTAGGCTGTAAAATAGATGCAGCTGTTAGGTTATTTTTAGTTTCCTTAACCCTTGAACCTGAAATAAGCACAAACACAGAGGGGAGTTAGTTCATTTTACGCTGTGTTACCAGAACATCGGAGAGAAGACGCTGGCACAACCCCTACCGGAGCTCCGCCATTATCTCTCTACCCTTACTCAGTTCCACAGCAGTTTTATTGAAACCCAGGACGAAGAACGCGGGGCCTTCTCGAGTTAGAGTTACAGGCTCGTCTCCTAGGATACCGCATTCCAGAGATATCAGCGGGCCTACAGAGGTGCATTTGCACAGTCAAAATACTGGAAAGGAAAGAAAGAATGTGCTGAGACCTTCTCCAGGACTCAAAAAGGAACATTAAATACAGAAAAAACCTATCAGCAGCCATCACGTTTACGGTCTTATTTAGCTAGTATTACATTCATGGTAGAAAAGTGTAAAATAGTATACCAATTCAATTCAATTCAAATTCAAAAATACTTTATTAATCCCAGAGGGAAATTAGAGTTTCAGTACACACAATTCTGATATAGGACATACATAGGCAAAGACACATGACAAGAATTGATGACTGTGGTCATTCGCAACCCGAGACGCGCTACCTTAATAGAGAACAGAGGGGTTTACATGAGGATTGGATCAGGTGGAGTAAAAAAAAGGCACTTCAGAGTTACCCTCCACAGGGCTTCAGAGGTGAAGTGAGTACCCCTGTCCGAGTCAACCCGAGTGGGAAGACCGAACCGGGTGAAGATGTGATTCATCAAGAGAATAGCTGTAGTTCTCGCCGTGTCATTAGGTGCTGGTAGACATTCAACCCACTTGGTGAATGCACAGGTCACGGTCAAGATGTATTTATTACCCCTGCTGGACCTGGTTAGAGGCCCCACCCAATCGAATTGCAAGTCCGACCACGGTGTGGACGGTCCCTTTCTCTGTAGGGGAGCTCTGTGTGCGGGGTTGGATGGCTGAAACAGACAACAAACCAAACAACCCTGGACATGATCTGAGACGTCGCAACGCATCCCCGGCCAATAAGCAACCTGGCTCAGAGCACCGAACGTGGCCTTGACACCTTTGTGTCCGGCGGAGGGAGTCATGAGCTTGCGTGATCATGCCCCCCGTAGTGACTGTGGCGTCACGAGAACAGGTGGCAAAGGAGGCTTGGAGGCGTGCATCAGCAACCCTTCAACCATTCTCAGCGTGACCCGAACACGAAAGAGTGCACGGAGCTCAGGAACGGAGTCAAGCTCGGCGGAAGAAGGCAGATGAGATGTAGGATCAGAAAGGTACAGGATCATCCTGCTTATAGCAGGGTCCTGCGACTGAAGACTGACGATCGTTACCAGAAAAGACAGGTTGAACGGACACAACACCCTCGGATGGTTTGGAGGTGGACGCGTTAGCGGCCTGAGCTCGAGACACGACACACACGCGGGGTGGGTCAGACCGAGAAGACACCTCCTCAGGAAGCCACAAGGGGTTGAAGGCCCATGGAGTACCATCGGCCGCGCCTTGTTTGGCAAGAGAGTCTGCAAGGTCGTTCAGGTCCTTATCAGTTCCGGGTGCACGAGAATGTCCTTTGACTTTACGCCAATAAATGTGCATGTCATGTGACGTCACTAGGGCGTCACAAGACATTAAGAGGTCCTGATGTTTAATTGGCTTCCGGTTAGAGGTTTGGAACCCATTACTCTTCCAAGACAGTAGATGACAAATGAAACTGAGACGCGCGTAGTCTGAGTCAGTGCAAATCACCAGCTCACGGATACCACGGTCCACAGTGAGTTGTAGTACTATCAAGATCTCAGCCACCTCTGCAAACTGTGAGGTCTTAGGACCCAACCAGTAACATAGGGAGTCCTTCTGGTCAGCATTCAACCAGACGACACCCACGCCTGACCTAGGTGCCGCACCGTGTCGAAAAGAACTGCCATCGACGTACACGGTCGGCAAGTCCACACAGAGAGACTGATCGAAGTAGTGGTGGTTGCGGTTTAGAAGAGTCTGAGGAGGGCTAGCTGGCGGGACTGACGTGACAGCGTCGTCTGAGCAGTGTTGGCACGCAGCCAAACCCATGCCAAGAGGGCTACGACGGTTCTGGGCGTAGCATACTTCGATGTTGAAGCTTTGAAGGGCCAGCGGCCATGACGCGATTCACGCATTGGTCACCACACCACCTCTGATGCGCTGACTGTTAAGGAAGGTCACTGGCTGGTGCTAAGTTTCAATGATGATTTTCTGTCCAACGATGTAGCTAGAAAAGTGTTTCACCACCCGCATGGTGGAAAGCAAAGCTTTTTCACAGCCAGAGTACTTTAACTCAGGACTGGACAAGAGCTTACCAGTGAGACAGTGTGAGCATCCTGTCACAATGTCCCGATTGATCATGCGCCCTGGCTACTTGGCCAAGGGGATGTCCCTTTGGCTGACTGGTTAGAGTGTATGACTCTCACCCGGGAGTCTGGGGATCGAATCCCACCCGGGCCCTCGTTTATCCACCTTGCCACATTTGGCGTTGTTGGCAGGATCCATGTAGTACTGTCAAGTAGGTCCATGGATGTGAAGTTTGTGGCACCCTGCGCGGGGGCACGAGGACGTGCTTGTGGAAAGAGGGGGGAAGATGTGATCGTGTGAGCATCCTGTCACAATGTCCCGATTGATCATGCGCCCTGGCTACTTGGCCAAGGGGATGTCCCTTTGGCTGACTGGTCAGAATGTATGACTCTCACCCGGGAGTCTGGGGATCGAATCCCGCCCGGGCCCTCGTTTATCCACCTTGCCACACCAGCATAGGCTACAACATGCCTGTCGCAGTCATATACTTGGTAGAGACTGGCACTCAAACAGTAAGATGAGAAACCGACCTCAAGGTGGAAGTCCTTGTCACAATCGGGGAGCGCCAAGCACAGAGCTGAGCATAACGCAGCCTTCAGGTCATCCATGGCCTGTTGCTGCTGCTCAGTCCACTCGAAAGGCACATGCTTCTTCAGTAGATTAGTCAGAGGTCTCGCTACCTCAGCGTAGTGTTCTACAAACTGGCGCGAGTAGTTGCACATCCCTAGGAAGCTCCAAAGTTCAGAGACCTTCGTAGGAGGTGTGATGGTGGCCACACCTTGAATTCTGCCAAGTTGAGGCTGCACTCCCTGTGGTCCCACAAGGAGGGCAACAAACTGAACCTGTGACCTGCACCACTGACCTTTGGCGAGAGAAATCTTTGCACCAGCAGCTGCGGGCTGACCCATGACATGGTCCAGCTTGGATAGGTGGTCATCCAAGGTACGCTTATGAACAGGAATGTCGTCGACATAGATGAGGGTACCTTGCTCTCGAGCATCAGGGCAGGCTTTGTCCAAGAAGATGTTGAACTCAGCTGGTGAGTTGGAATAACCAAAAGGACACAGAGTGAAGGTGTACTGGCGGTTGGCAAAGGAGAAGGCTAGTTTGTGTCGGTCAGATTTATGGACAGGAATTGTTCAGAATCCAGATGCAATGTCAAGGGTGGAGAAGTATTTAGCATCTTTCACTTTTGGGGGTTCCTTTTCTAGGCGCGCCATTGGCCACCTAGACAAGGGAACCTGTTTGTTGAGTTGCCTGTAGCCAATGGTTAGTCGCCACTTACTTTCCATCTTATCTGGAGGCAAATTAGCAGAGCACAGGGTTAGAGCCCCTCCCAAGTGGGAGGCATCTCCAATAACTTGGACTTTTGTGACTTCCTGTTGCAGATTTAAAAGCTGCATCTGCATGTTTTTCATTTCAGCAAGTTGCATATTTTTCATTTCAGAAAGTTGCATATTTAGCTGGGTCTTCGTTTCATTTTTCCACTGGAAAAATAGCATTTGCATCTGTGAACTATGCAGTTGAAATTCACTTTTCATCTGGAAAATGAGAGAAGTCAAATGATTATTTCTGAAGCCATTGTATAGTAACAGATCCTTTAATTTGTTATAAAATTAATGGAAGCTGAATAGGAAACCCCTGCTTACTGGTTGGATGTAAATGAGCTTTGTTACAGGAGAAATTGCAGTGTTTAGAATGAACAGTTTCAGTAATGACCCAGAGATGTCACTCGGCTGACCGTACCAAGATGGCTGATCGAGAGGTTGTGTGGGCTTACCAGGAAAGATGGCGGCATGTGTGCTCATGCGCTGTACTTCCAACTGACGGTTAGCATAAATGGCTAACCAAAAGTCCGTTTCTCACACTGAAATTTTAAAAACGCCGCTAAATCAACTCGAACGATGTCGGAGTTTGTCCCTTTGTGGGTAGCGAATTTTAAGACACAGGAGCGCTGTGTCAATCGATTTTCAGCTGCGGGTAGCTACTCCGTTTTTGCCGAAATCGAGAGCTAACCTTTAGCAGCTGAGCGTGCTAAGCTAGCGGAGCCTGTCAGCTGACCAGGACTTTGCGGTCTAATTCTGTTGTTAAACTGACCAGTCCGAATACCCGAACGTCCTTGACTCATTTGTGTTGATATTTCGGACTAATTAGCATGTGCAATTCGTGCTGCAGTGACGTTCTTCCGTTTTAAAAGCCTACAAGACTGTCGCAATTCAATGCTGGTCAGGCTACGGGCTGATTTACCGGTGATCAAACGGCAATCGGGAAGCGAACTTACGGTGGAGAAATTCTTTTATCTCCGTACACAAGAAAATACACAGTGTCACGAAACACTCAGAAAAGACATATAAACATGTATTTACATTAAAGATGACAGCAGGAAAAATAACCCTGTTCTTTGCTAGAAGCTCCAACATAGCTTGAGATGACGTCAGCCTTAGTTGAAGAGATGAATCAGTGCCTCCTTGTGGGAGGTGAACAGTGTCACATCCCCTTTTAACTTTAAATGGAGATGCTGCACTCTAGTGGAGAATTACGAGATTGTCCAGTTTTCAACCAGAAACATCCGTTTTAAGTGTTTTACTGTTTAAAAATGTCTCAGAATGAGCAAGAAGTGTTAAATTGTACAAATATCTGGCAATGGCTCGCCATTATGTAATGGTTTAATTTACATGTTATTTCATGAGCCATAAGACATAAGATTCCATAGTAAATATGAAATCAACATGTGGGTACTTTTAACCAGAAGATTGGAACTTTTTATTGCAGGGATTATGTAGCCACTTCGTATTAACTCAGAGACAACAGAAGACAGAGTCAAGTTTTAAAAGTTTAAAGATTTATTACTAAACAAATTAAAACTAGACTAACTTTATCACTAAATGTATAGTGTAACTAAGGTGAATGAGACGGGGAATGGTGTAGTGTGGAATGTTGCTCAGAACCAGCAAATTTGAAGAAACGATTAGTTCTGGTGGGAAGTGAAGGTAATGTCTTTGCGCTAAGCTTTGGTTAGGAGATTCATAAACACATAATACACCATTCTGTCGGTCTACGCACCCTTGTGGAAGTCCCCGTCTAGATCAGGAGGTGTAAAGGTCCAACTTGGACCTTTGTGGAGCCGAAGCTTGTAGAAACAGCCACGGCAGCCG